AGATACGTCTTATTACGTCCCTTACCACCTTTAAGAAAGCAGTTAAAACGGAGCTTTTCCAGCAGGCCTTCCCAGAATAACTTCCCCTTGCCTCATGGGAATAATATCCCCTTGCCTCATGAGCCTTCAGCCGCCACTCCGGAGAGAGCTGAAGGCCCGGGGGGTGAGGAGGGGAAGAAGGTGAACAGTCATGCACCCGTTGTTCCTCCTCCCCTGCACCCTCCCAGGCCTGCAGCTGAAAGCCCAGGATGACCAGGAAGGAGGAGGAACATGTGCACACCTTTTTCTCTTCCCCCTGCATCCTCCTGGGCCTTCAGCAGCCTCTCCAGAGACAGCTAAAGGCCTGAGAGAGTGTTCCTCCTCTTTCTCACCTTCCCAGGCCTTCAGCATGCCTGTTCCTCCTCGTTCTAACCATCCCAGGCCTTCAGCTGCTTCCGAAGAGGCAACTGAAGGCCCAAGAGGGTAGGGGAAAAGTTCCCCCGCCATTTCCTCCTGCCCTCCTGTGCCTTTCACTGTCTCTTGAGAGGCAGTTGAAGTGACGGAAGGACAGGGGAAGAGGAGCAGCTGGCACGTGCCTGTTCCTCCTCTTCCCCTGCCCTCCTATCTCTGCACATGCCCTCTAAAATGGCTTCACATGCCAGAGATGGCATGTGTGCCATAGGTTTGCCAACATGTCTTTAGTAGGTATATGTTTGACTGCAGTCTTCACAGTGACTAGATCATGCCCACAATTGCTTCTGGCTTCTATATTAGAACTCAATATACTGCTAAATTTGTTTGCCAATTATAATAGCTCAGCAAACTGTCTAGTTCTCAATGTAGCATGCTATATTAGATTCAGATAAAACTGAAAATTAATTGTTCTGACGTTTTTATCTGCATAATGCAAATAAACGGTGATTCATCCTACACAAAGGGATATTATTTTTAACTCACCATGATTTCCTTATTTTTCACTGGATCTTAAATGCTGTCTTAAATTCATTAGGATGTTACAATGTATCTGGCAAATTGCAAATAGCCTCCACATTAATATGATTGGTTGCATTGTTACAGTCATTTTCATTTTATTTTTTAACTTCTTTGCCTTCAGTTGTTCACCCTGAAAGGTATTTAACTATTTGTTTTCAGCATGTTAGGGATTCAGTTTCTAAATGTATATAGAATTAATAATGAATGTAGCCTTTTTGAATGGAAGATTTTGCTGTGAATATTGATAGATTGAAGTGTCCAGTATTCTTCACCTCCTCCAGTTACAATAATTGTTTGTCACATTTTAATGACACAGGAGAAAATGACAAGTATACCTTGTAATGTGCTACATATTTGTCTCATTTTCTTGGTGGAAAAATTTGTGGCAGCTCATGGTTGAGGTCCACAAGAGAGCAGGTTAAGCAACAGTTGAAAGAAATGGCAGTCACCAAAGGCTACATGCTAACCATGCAATCCGGTGCATGCATCTCTATCCAGAATACAAACCTTTTTTAGTTCAGTTAGATTTTTATAGGACAGAGGCCTTAGTAAAAACTAAAACAAGATATAGAATAGGACTGGAGTAAATATAGAAAACCTTGTTCTATCTGAGAGCTGAGTTCGATTTCAGAGAAGTTCTCAAAGGCCATGTTTCAATGTTTGGTATAATAAAGAACAAAAAGTAAAAATAAAATGTAGGACAAAAAGTATTATGGTATTTTAGCTTACAGCAGCTGCTATCAGTAAGTAATCTTTAGGAGAGGCATTTCAGGTATCTAGAATAAGGGAGAAAATCTGGAAAACCATCAAATGCTGGAAAAGGATGTGTGGCATCATCCTTAAACTGTCCTTAGACTTCAGGAGTGCAACATTCAGCTCCAGGTTCTGTGCCCCTCCACCCCCAGTCTATAAGAAGATGAACAAGAAGTTCAGAAGGAGACTGGGAAAAATTTGAAGACAGAATGGACAAAAAGAAAGGATAAAAAGGGGTAGTATACATTAAAGCTGACATATGTCAGTTTTACTGTATTGTCTTAGTTTTCTATAGGATCCACCAACTGAAGTCTGGTGTTTAAGATGTGCATTTTGAATTAAATAATTTTGAGTCCAGGAATTTGTCCTGAGTGCCAGTACTGAGAAGTACTTTCATGCAAAAATACTTTCTCTTAATTTAATGAGTGTAATTCAGTAGCAGGAAAGCAAATGTGATTTTGCTGCTTCTATCATTAAATATTCAGGAGAAACTCCACCATCTCTGTGCAAACAATACCAGGAGTAGATTGTGGTACAGACCATAAACTGGTACACTAAAAATTTAGATGAAAGATAAAGAAATACAGTAAATCTATTATAGTCACAAAATACAATCTAAAGCAAGGCTTTTCAAAGTGGTGGTCATTGAACCACTGTCAGTCTGCAAACTATAGGCAGCTGATTCATAGAATTGTCTCCGGGAAAGAGAGAAACAATTGTATTCAATGTGTACAAATATTGTACCAGTTGCTCATAATATTATGTGTTCAACATTTACAATCTTTCCTTTTTTAAAAACCTCTCTCTCCCTCCCCCCCTCTCTCTCCTGCTCCATTGGAATGTAGTCCAGTCGCAATGTATCTTCTCTATAGAGACCTATATTAGATTCTTGCTTAAGATGAAGGTGAAGATTCTCTAACATTGTATCACTCCTTTTACATATCTTGCATTTGAATCTTATGTGCTTTACCAAACTTTCATGTATTAAATAATTATTGCAGTGTGTGTGTGTGTGTGTGTATTGCTTAAGTCAGTGGGATTAATAAAACATTGCTGTGGTCAGTTTTATTAGTCAGATTTTGTTTCAACCATTTCCAAAATCCACATTAACAACTCCCTAATTGTTGGGTGGATGTTGCTTTCCATTGACATGAGACAGGCCAGACAATCTTTCCTGCAACCAAAATATGCTGCAATAGGAAATTTATATTACTTTGATGATCATCATTAAAAAATTCCAAAAGCAAAGTTGAGCTTTCATTTTTTTTAACTTCAATTTCCTTCTTTAGAAAATAAATCCACAACTAAATTCTTGTGTGCTTGCATATGTTAAAACATGGTTTGTAATTTCCAGGACTAAAACATATTTGTCTTTAACAATTTATTTAGAAGTAGTATCTCACTGGAGCATTGTATAATAGAGACTTAGAATATGCTATCCAGATGGTTTTGGAAATATGTGTGTATGTCACTTGCTCCTACTTAAATCAATCTGTGGAGCTTATCACACTGCTAAAATAAACCTCCATACCTCTCACAACTTCAATCGTAATTCGGGCAACATCCAGTTACTATCACAGGGATTTTGCCACTGAATCCACTGCCTGTGTCCAGCCCATGTCAAGCCCAGATTCCAGGGGTGCTCAGCATACCTCTTTGTGAAACCTGACTTTTTCTGACTTAAGAAAATGGCTGCCGGAGAGCCCCTGGGACCCAGGCTGGACACGGGTGGTGGATCAGCAGCAAAATCCCTGTGATAGTATCCAGATGCCACCTGAATTAAGATTGAATTTGGGAGAGGCAAGAAGGTTTATTTAGCAGTGCAATAAGCTCCTTTGTTAAGCACAGAAATCTTCCACAGAAGTTAATTTGTCTTAAGATTAAATACATTTTGCCCTTGTAAATGTTTCCCACTTACAGGAAACTGGGCATTTAATGGCAGTTGTTGGTGATACAGTCTCAGGGGAGGATGATAATGTTTAAACTTAAAGGGGTATTAATAGTCATGTTTATTTGAATTCAATGGGGCTTACTCCAATTAAATATGCACAGGCTTGTACCCTTGCTCTTGTATTATTAATTAACATATATATTTGAGAAATTATGTTTATTTTTATTTTTTAAGATTCTTAGTCCTGTTCATTGCTAGTCCTGTTCATCTCCGCTGTTGCAGTTAAAATAAAATAAATGGTGATCTCTTTTGTGAAATTATGAAATTCTAAAAGCACTTGAGCAAAGAGTTACTGGAAGCCATCCTTGCATGAGTTCCACAAATGCTACTTGTATAAAAGGAAAGAATAGTAAATATCCTCTGTCTAATCTATACTCCTCAGATGCAAGGAAATGTAGCATCCCTCTTAGCAGGTCACCCAGCTTCTGTTTAAAAACATGTAAAGACCTACCACCTTCAGAGACACTCTGTTCCACTGTTTTATCACCAGAAAGGTAATCATAATTTTCACACAAAGCCCTGTTGGAGACTACTGCTTACCTCTTGACATTAAAAATCTCCATTTTGTATTGGAGGGCTGGTTAATGGATTTAAGATTCCCTTAAGACATGACAGCTACTGTTTCTGCAGCTAAGGACATCTAACATAGGAAAT